TCCTTGACAGCCAGCTGATGTTCCATTGTTGGCAAAAATATTGACAAAAACTGACCTTCAAGTCAGGTCAGCCATTTGCCAAACCGATTCGTTCATCTGCATACGTGCGGCCAAATTCCAGTAGCACTTTACACTGTCGGTGTAAAGCGCATTTTGCAGTAGAGTTATCTAGTTAGCTGGGTACTCAAGCTCGTGGGACGAGACCGCCCAAGTGGTTAGAGCGCGAATCTACTGACCGGAAGGTCCGTGGTTCGAACCCAACCTCTACCTCTCGACTTCCCCTGTGTAGGTTTGGGCAACCTGGCAGTATCCCAGCCCTCGTGCAACCTTTGGGTGGCGTGGCAGTTAGGCACCGAAAGGGTACCACAGCTGAACTCAAGATTGTATGGGTATCTTCAAGCTTCCTTGTCTGAAAGCGATCCTTCTATACCTTGCACCGTAGTGAACTCTGGCGAAATCTTGCCGTACTATGGTTCTCTGGGATCACCATCCCATGGTTTGAGAGGTCTCAGTTGGAACACGCCTGTTCGATATCTTTTACCCGCTAAAGTTGAAGGTATCCACTGCCCAAAACCCAGATGCCAATGCACTTGACCGCGTTATCTATATGTTTCTGGTAGTTTAAACTTCCAGTAAGGTTGCTAATCTGTTTCGTGGCTGCGCTTTTGTTCTCGAAATTGGATGAACCGGTCCTTTGACATTGCTCAATTTTTGGTATTTAGTATCGGGAAAATCAATTTCGAATCGAGTTCTATCCGTCTATGAGGGACATTGTCTACATTCTCTGTTTTGAGCGCCTAGTTGTTCACGTGCTTAAAAAATTTTGGTATTTACTTTGCCATTGCCAAATTTAGTAGTATCCTACATGGTCCGGACGTGGGGCTGCGCGAGGTGACTGAAGGCCAACATAATATTTGTATCGATCATGATGTTGTTGATCGTTCGGTCACCGACAGATGAGTGTGTGTGTGTGTGTGTGTGTGTGTGTGTGTGCAAATCCTGCGATAGCGTGAGTTACGCGAGTGCTGTTTGGCCCTTAGCGTATTTGCGACTCACTTGATAAGTCACTTCCATAATTCACAGCAGTTGAGCAGACCAACATGCAGCTACCCTGAGGTCACGAAAATTTTCGCGTAGGCTTGGAGCGAGTTTTGTTTTTCTTCAGCTTGTCTAGTCTGCTTCATGACATGTATCCTTTCATTGGGGTCTTCTAAATTCGCGTTCATATTTGCGCTCCTGGCTACCAATTGGAACGCCCGTATCACCATACTGGTTATCCACATAAACCAATCGACAGAACAGGCTAAATTTAGTTTAGCAGTCCTGGACGGTAGGGTCGCCCGGGGGATCACCGCTAATTTTTTTTATTCATTTATTGTTATAACTCATTAATCTACGGAGGCAGAGCCTAGTCAGTCCTCACTACGCCTTGACCAATACCCGATCGCTTAATAACATCACGTTATTGATTAACATGTGTAAAAGTTCGGTGGGTACGTGCTAGGTCATAAGTTCGTTTGTGACCTATCGATCACTTCTCTTCTATTGCACCTGGTATGTACTTGAAGTGTGTTGAGCTCAGTCTGCTCGATCTGTTTTCCGTGCTCCAACCAAACGATTCTTTAGTAAATTCGCTTATGAATGGATCGAATTTCGTACACATTGTGTACGGTTAAAACATGTACGTGCGCAACACTTGGTGAAATGTCGTTAGTCAGCTTCAGTTTCAATTCAGCCAAGAATACCAGGATATCGATCAATTCAAGACGTTCTTGACCTCAACCATGCAATACTGCAATTTCAGTGCACATTGTCCTGACAGAAAACTCTCCACAATGCTTTGGCACCTGCCTGAGCGCCAAATGTGGCTGGCCTTAATGTTGAATTTTCTCAACTAGCCGCTAACCAAATTTCTGAGGACAAAGGGCTGCGTCTTCTCTCCCGACAAAGATGTCATTGAATAAACATGTCGTACAAGTAGCAAGGAAGTGATGTGGCTAGCCTGGTGGTGGAAACTCATGTCGTTGTTTCTACTTCTGGTTGAGGTTATATTTCTTTTTGCGTTGTCCGCTTTGAACTAGTTAGTCTAGGCCGTCATCGAATACTTGATTTGGTTTCTTTAAATAGTAATTTCACCCATTGTCAACCGAATTGGTCCGCTTAAAGAATTTTCCCAAGGCATATATTCTGACATCTGTGAATTCTGTGTGTGTGTGTGTGTCTCAGGTACTTCTTCATGGTTCAGTCGTCTTTGAAAAAAATCGTTCAGCTGTAGCACCATTACAGTGCCTGACTGCCATGCCACCAGAAGGAAGCACGGAGGCTGAGATACTGTCAGGTTGTCCAAGCATCGACAGCATGACATCAGTGTCGGTGCTTCACTGCCGTACAATCATGACTTATTTGAAAGCCTTATTGTAAAAAAAGAATAAAGGTGGACGGAGGAGGGACTTAGTGCTAGCTTAACACAATCATTCCGAGGTGCCTACACCTCCAGACATTCATTCAGGCAATCTGGACAGAAACTGACAACAAGAACGCCACTGACATCGGTTGGCAGCCATATCTTGTAGTGTCTCCAACCAGGCACAGTGAGGATCACGCGGTCCCCATCTTGGAAGGCGAGTAGCACCGACAGCAACCAAGCGTTTCATGATCTCCTTAATACTCCTCTGCCAGGTCATGGGGTGGGCCCCTCTCTGTTTACGCCACTCCGAATTGGGCAGACTATGGTTCGTCATACGCAGCACATGTCCCAACCAACGCAGCTTCTGGTGCTGGACACATTCTTCAATGGAAGTACCCGTTACACAACCGAAAACACGCCTTCTAACTGCCTCGTTACGGATTCGCTGACACCAACCCACACGAGCTATGCTTCTGAGACAACGATTGTCGGTTCTAACCACTGAGCCATCTCGTCTTTGGCTACATAGCATAGTGTTTGCTGCTAGCCGGTAGTTCACTGGTTCGAATCCCACCAAAGATGAAACAGCCATGCCCCGCATCTCGATATGTACTACTGGCTTGGGTTGTACGATGAATTCCTCTTCTGTGATTGCACTAAGTTTTGCCAGATGGACTTCCATGCATTGTCTGATGGGGGCTGCCCACAATCCGTCCGAACCTGATGCTTTTTCCCGCTCTTAGGCGAACAATTTGTGTTTTATTTCTTCCGGTAGGCAATTAAGTTTCACATTCCATTCAGCTACATACAATATCTTCAGGAATGTACTGCGGAAGACCATCTGAACTACTTACCAAAGTGGTCGGTCCTTTTTTTCCAGTCGACGCTTTTCCCATGGGGTTGGAGATTAGTCATCTTTTTTGTGCAATTGTTTTTTTTGTTGTACCATCGTTCGAATACGATGATGTGGATGGAGTACGCCTGTTCCCGTTCACTTACATCTCCTTAGCTTTTACTCTCTATCATAGTGAGCGAAGCTTTGGCTATCATAATTGCTTTGGAATACTGTGGTTCCTCAGTGCCAGTCTCATTCTCTCAACTTCGATTGGTTCGATTGGTTGCTCACTTTCCCGTGTCTCCTCTCTTTTATCGTCTACCCTAGCAGATACCGTTAGAACAAACCAATCTCGTTTAGATGAGCCTAGTACGCCCAAGAGTCCAGCTGTGACCACCGCCCATGCACCCGCACCGTCGACACTGGATGAATCACCTGTTATGATCTCTGTCGCCAAGGTTGCTGGACAGCCGCCCGAAGAAGCTTCTCACACAGATGATGCATCCGTACCTTCACAACCAGATCACATTGTAGACACTCCCATGGTCCAATCAGAACAGCAGCAAGCGAATTCTCAAAATCAGATTATTCTGAACCACCCTCCAGAGGTGCAGAGTTCTGTACTCCCTCAACAACCATTTGTACCTTTACCTTACAATTGTGCTCTACCCTGTACCATTCCTGACTGTCAGGGATGTTACACACAGATTTGTCCTACCGGCACAGTGCCAATTTCAACGGCGTCTGTGTCATTTTATCCTCAACGCCCGCTCGTCACTGCAGTTTCGTCGGTGGCCACAAGCGGCGCTCTCACTAGTAGTGTGACCAGTGGCTCTCCTGGAGGACCATGTTATATTCTTGTCGGACAGGAACTGGAAGCTCAGAGGCAACAGCAGCTTTATGCGACACAGATGGCCCTGTCACAAATGAACTTGAACGTATCATTGGCATCCGACTGTGCTGTCGGAGTTCCATTGGTCCAGACCAACGGTTACGTTCGTGACGGCCCTGTTCCAGGAACGTTTATTCAAGGTGTTTCCCAACCAAGTAGTTTACAGATGGTGCCACAGGTGAGTAAAGTCTGTGATGACTCTTTAGTTTGATCAAAATTTCCCTACCTTTGTTTTGACTCTTTTCCGATTATTATCGCTCTTCAAATTCTTGTTTGCCTGATGGCCGGGTGTTAGGCGGGCGGAATTCCACACGGATCCCACTTTACCGCTCGCAGTTGGGTGCTGCTACGGCCGAGAATCCCATCCCCGTCACCAGCTGTTGTGTCTTGCTGAAATGAAGTGCAAGGCATCCTGCCCCGCCCCCCTATGGTATATCAAAAGGCACTTTACCTCTACACAGCCCTTTATGGAGGCAAAGGAAATTTATTACAACTGTATTTATAGGGTAATCATAGAGTTTTCCCTAAGCTCGTGCTAGAATCTCCGTGAGGGGGCTAGAAGCTTGGAGTCAAAGATGCTCCATCCAGATTGGCTGGCGTTCTGACCAATCAGGGTATGCCTTCGTTTAGTCCGTGTCCTGCACGTGAAACATCCGTCCAAATGATGTGGTGTTCGGTTATCAGGAACGGCTGGCCTACGGACACTCCGGGCACTCCCCAAAGGCTGGAGGAAAGTGGGGATGTTTGTGAGTTTGAAAGAATATTCCCAGCGCACAACGATAGGCTCGCTTTAGTTAAACAGTCCAGCGAGGAAGTAACGGCATGTGTGCCACCAAGACCAGTTGCGTGTCCTGCAGGCTTTCGGACCAAGTGCAGGCAGTGAACCTCATCCAGAAACGTACGAAGTTTTTAATTGTAGCTGTGTTCATTCCACATTGCCATGTCTTGGCCGGTCCACGCACTGATGGTGTCCCTGTGGTTGGTAATGAAACGTTTGCAAGTTAATGTGTACGCCTGACGAACTGATCACCACCTATCCGATCATCTACCGAGCTACCAATATCCAGGTACATTTCCAAGAGTACCGATTATTGGAAACTCAAGAGCTTTTGAGTTATCCTGGATCGCTCCAGTTTGTCCTCCAGTTTTACTCCCTTGCATGGATACTTTAACTGTGAACTATGTGAGTATCCATGGCTACACTGTCGGCTTAGTCTGGTCAGCGTAGCAGGTTTGAGTACCAGTTTGTGGTTATCATCCAATATCTCCATGACCTTGGCGAAAAATTCATCACAAATGAGATGTTCAGCCGGGTTCCAGGTGAGTCTCCCACAAAACTAAATTTTTTTCAAATGAGTGTATTTTGCTAATTTCATGCAATTTGGTTTCAAGTAGAATATAAGGTTGGCGAAAACTCGGAGACTGCGCCTAAATGATGAGCCCCGATTAGCGCGAAGCCGGTCGTGGATTGTCAAAGGATTTTCAGCAACCTTATGAGTAGTGCGTTACGAATATTCATCTGATCTTTTTAGTTTTGTGACATTGTATTGAAGGGATTAGGTACACTACCTTTCTGCGGAATGCTGCGGAGGTGTAGGAGAAAGTGAATCTTATTGTCATCCTTCTTTCAAGGAAACCCCCAGAGAAGCACCTATCGAGCGGATACCTACGGATTTTTTCGTCTCGATCTCCCATCAAAACAGTAGACTCCCCAAAACCGAGGGGAATATACATTCTAGTTCCTTAAACGACTGACTTGGTTCTCAAAAATGGATACCACATTTGATCCAAACTTGGTTTTCTAGTTCATATCAGTGTCACCACCAAAACAGTAGACTCCTCAGAACCGAGGGGAATATGCATTCTAGTTCCTTTAACGACTGACTTGGTCCTCAAAAATGGATACCACATTCGATCCTAACTTGGTTTTCTAGTTCATATCAGTGTCATAAGCAAAATTGATGAACTAACCCACCGCATTGAGGTCTCTTTGATTTGAGTTAACCGATACCTCGGCCTGAATATGCACACACCACCATTCGTTAGGGGACATCTTGCAGTTCGAGATAGCTCAGGCGCGGACCTACTGCTCGGAAGGTCCGAGGCTCGAACCCAACCTCTGCATCTCGACTGTTCGTGTCTAGGCTTAAGCAGCCTGGCAGTATCTCAGCCTTCATGCTCCCTTTGGGTTGCACGACAGCTAGTCACTGAAAGGGCGTTACAGCTGAACGATTATTTTTATTTATTATGATTATCTCAATTGCCAACTTGGCAGCTTGCTTCTTTGGAGTTGCACCAATCCGGTTCGTGCCGGTTGCTGCGGTGACGCGTTTGAGTAAGAGACTTCGGCTGAAGGTCATATTGGCATTTGATTGAGTGGTTGTTGGTCTGTCTACCATGTATCACGCCATTGCCTAGCAAACGTTTCGTCACTGGCAGAAGAGACATCATAGGCGCGCGCAAAACAGTTAGTCTGCGAATCAGTTGCTTTGCTTGTAGCGATCCTTTTGACCCCAACCGTCTCTTATATTGAATCAATCACAAAAATCCGAAAAATGAGTTGAATAACGGTACAAACATTCTCGTGTGGTACATCCACCTTCGAATCCCTTCCCTTTTTGATGGATGACTAAGTCACTTCGTCGATATTCACGTGCTCTATACAACCTATGCTAGATTGCTGGTTGTCGCACCAACCTGCCGGATAATAGAAAAAATTCACAACTTCATCTTTCTCACAGTCAGACGGCGGTCTTCCGGACACCCCCGCCACACACGAAAAAAACGTTACAGATTTTTCGTCACAAAAAACACGCAGTTCTTTGTGCACACTTGCTTCAACAATTGCGTTCTTATTCGTCACACGTGTGTGACATTCCGAACCAAACATCAGTCCATTCGCTTTTTGTCTCGTGTCGATCGGCCCGTAAAATCGATACCTGAGTGGAACGGCTTAGAACCAATGGTGGTTATATGATGGCTAATCACGCGCTTGTGTACCACCGACCTTACAAAGAATCATAGTTGAATCGTTTCGCGGTAAGCAAAGGTTCGTTGCTGATTTTTTTCGCTCTCTCTCTCTCGCTGCCGTTGAAACCGATCACGTAGCGTTTGCGCGGTCTCGGCACAAAGCGTTGTGCGTTGTATAGTTTTCTCCACACTTGACAGAACCATCATGTGATTGCGATCAGGGAATTCAGGAATTAGAACATTCGCACAATTGGGGAATCTAAGCCGATTGACTAGCTAACTAGTTGGTACCGGCTACTGGTTGTTCCACTTGCTGATGAAAATATCTCCCCGCCCAACCACGAGTTATCCACTGGTCTATCACACATCCAGCGGTTTGTCGCTATAGCACTGCGCACCTATTTGTCTCTGAGTCATACCGTATGCAATTTCAAAGCGCTTAGTTTTCGGCGTCTCCTGAAGCAGAAAGTGTACAGTGACACGATATTGCTCCCAGTGTCTTGTTGTCATGGCGACTAGCAGATGTTCGTGGAAAACACAACCACAGTGTCATGACATCCCGGCAACAACATGGTTAGGTTACGGTCTGGAGACGCTCGTTACACAAGGCTACAGGTGAGTGAGGGTTTGGATTGGTAGCCTCGCTGAAAACCGCGCTTTGTCGAGAAGATTGGGATGGTATGATGTCGCACCACAGAAACCGCGCTTCATACCAGCTGAATGTGCTTTACAACCTGATAGGACATCTTTGGTGAGTCCTTTTAGAGTATATGCCGGAGTCAACGTCCTTCACACCCTATGCGGTATGTCTGGTCGATGGGGGTGATTCAGTGATCGTGTTATGTGATCTTTGGTCACCGGTGGGGGAGGGGTGGCGAGACCCACTGATTCCGTCCTCGAGCTCTCGTTTATGGTTCAGTTGTGTTTTGGGGTGCCTTGTTCGCAGATTGAAAAACCCAGTCAGCTGTTCCGAAAGGATGCACATAGCCTGTACATATATGAGGACACTGGATGGTTTCCCGTTTCTGTCGACCTCAGAGAATTGGTCGAATGCATGATCTTTCAGCATGTTTATGCAGTGATTCACAGCCTACTTCATCGCAGTGCTCTTAACACCAAGGTCTAGAATCGGTCTTCTGTCAGTCATGAATTCAACCCGATCGAAAACAATTTGCGTCCACAAGTGAGATGGCTTTATGCGGGTGGTCTTGTCTACCATACGGCATGTGTTATGGTCCACCGTCCTTCATGAATAGGCATAATTTGAAAACATGGAAAAAAGCTGGTCAGAAGCATGAGCTGAATCACTACTTATTAAGGACATTGCGTTCTCGGCCATTTGGCCCTGTTCGATTATCTATTTAAGTGCGTGGTTTGGCGCACTGATAAAATCTTTCCGACTGATGATGTCACGTTTGCAACTCATTTGCCAAGCTTGGTGAGCAGACCAACAGTCACCTGATTTGCAATAAAAAAATAGGGTGTTTCCGGTGCTAAATTGTGGGAGGAAGCATGCAGAAGCTTGTGTTTTTTTTAGCATTGTTTCAACCAGCTCAACAATCGAAATTTACAGCGGGACTCACGTTTCCTGCAGTGTCAGTCCTCTTACCTTGGTCAGTTCTGGTGAACAAGGAGAAGTGATAACTATTGATTCTCCTATTTTGTTTGTGTAAACGTTGTAAGTACACTTTTATCGGGTTGGGTTAGGGCTTGGCCTCTCTGCATTTTTGGGGGCTTGCGTGTCTGCGCTCTGGAATGTTTGAGCAAACTTTGAAAAGAAATAACAAACTTGTGAAGTGCTCAGACGACGAAAGTTCACTATGTCTGCCGACTGGTCGTCTGGATCAACATGAGGACGTCTGTGGGGGTCATTTTTGATCGCCGTCTGTATTCCATCATAAAAATCACATAACTGGGTTCGAATATACCGCGTGACTTTCTTTATTCTAAGAAATGCGTCGTATGACACTCATGTATTGTTGAACTGAGAAAACACGGCATCCCTAACTAACTTCAGAGGCTAACTGGCAAAAATCTGACCAGTTGTTGATCCGTTTCGATAAAGCTATAAAACAGCAATTCGAAAAAACGAAAGAAATTCAACGATAGCTGCATGACCTGCAGCGTGCTTCTTGTGGCGCAGCCAATACCGGCATTTGGGCGAAACTGCGCTTGATTGCCCGACAGAGGGGGGAGGGGCAATACTTA